TATTTTGATATATTTTTTATTGAATCAAAGCAGTTGCAGACTTTATTTGCTTAGCTTTATTATCTTCTTTTTTATTCATCTCCAGTCTAATAAAATTAAAACTCTATAAGTTCTATTTGGAGTTTAATTTATTTTTAAATTTCTGACAGGTTACTGTTGGATATTTGATTTTTGATTTGATGATGATTTTGATTTTGAATTTGGATAGACTGTGTAAAGTAGAGCTTATTTAATTAGGAGGGTCGCAGCTCGAAAACAAGAAGTGCCAGAGATAAAAATCGTAGTATTTACGAGCTTCGATCTCCAAAATTGTCCATGCTGCCTATTAGGCCGTCACGGAAATATTGACATGACTTAATATTTACTATAGTAACTATTGTAATTATTATTTTAAATGTTAGTGAGTATCGGATTAAAAAAGCGCGCCTCTTGATCTGCTATGATTTTTTTACTTTAATACTCAGTTAATAAATCTTACTCAAAATATTAAGGCTCAGACAGAGATGAGTAGGTTTAAATATTGAGCTTAATTTAGCTACGGGCCCACTTTGGCGCGGGGCTCGTAGCAATTGCTACTCTTGCTACGTGGTTAATCCGGCATTGTTTGTTACATGTTATATAACGAGTGTCGCTGGAATCGAGACATATTACCTGGTATAGATTTATGGTGTGAGGTTTTATATACGAGAATGTGGGGAGGACTATGTGATGGTGAAAAGCCTCCACCGATGACCTCACGACTGCACCCCTGGCCTGCAGACGTGTGGCCGACCTTGGGACGATGGACCCCGGTCACATGGATCAACAGACGAATCGCAATAGTTCATACTCTCCCACTCCCGCTTCAATGTTCCAAGGCAGCCCATTTTTTTTATTTAAGAAGATGACGAACAAGCTGGTCGTTTGCCTGATGTTAAGTGATAACCGCCGCCCATTGACATTTGCAACACCAGTAGGTTTGCAGATGCGTTGTCACTTTATTATAAAGTGTTACCTTATTCACCAGAAGAAACGTAAAAGTATAACTACGATACGTATAAAACGTCGACTCCACGCCGGTCTTCTGTAAGGTTGGGGTAGATCCCCGGAGTGACCTGCTCATTTGTGCAACAGCGAAGACTGTTGCGTGGTCCTACCACACATTGTACATTCGCGCAATAACAGAAGCTGCAGCATTACTTCCGCTGCGCTCTTTGTAGAGCATCCTGTATCAGAGCGATTTGTGAAGAGGAGCGTGTCCGTGACGCTGGAATCGTGCATGTCATTGATGACGTTTAATGGTGGGCATTTAACGGCGGTTAATCGTTTTAAAAAAAGGCGACGATCGGAGCGACATCGAGCCCATCTCGGCCACGACAGTCAGATCCGATTGTCAAAGTGCGCGTGGACATACTGCGGACTTAAATTATTTATTACTTTTTTAGTTCCCTTACGCATATAAGACAAGAAAAAAATTTTTAGTAATAAAAAACAAAGGCGACTTCCAATATCTCTTACTATACACATCGTTATTCCTTTGATTTTGAATAGTTCCCTGATGTATCTCCGGAGTCCAAGGTCCAATACTAATGAAATTATTACCGCACTTTAAAGTAGCTTAACCGAATCCAATGCAAAAGGAATTTTTAACTTCGGTTCGTAAATGATCGAGTTCTGAGGTTCGCTCGGGTGGTTGTGCAATATTGATGTCAGAAAAATGTGAATTTTACCATATAGAATCTTTTAATAGCGGCCAAAATAAAATTATTTTATTTATAATAACGCGTAAATAACATAATCTTTAAAAACACGTCAGGTTTAACGATGACGTAGCATTTATTTCTGTGACTCTACATTCACAATGTATAATTAATGTAAACTACTGAATTCGGGATAACTTCATAAAGCATTAAGTTAAAGTTGAAATTATTCATTTTTAAAAGTCTCACATAATAACATTTTCATTCCCATGAATATCGAAAGTCCCAAATCGACGTTGTTTTCGGGCGGACAAAAAACCACTCACCAAATGGCCGTTTAAGGAATGGGCCTATTGTATTGTAAACATCGAAATGAGATCTCTGACGAATCTGCCCACTTGGATGGCTAACAAGATTCATCTTGCGAATGAGGGCTTTTTCCCATCTCATCGCTTTTTACGCAGCCATTAAAAGGGCTGACACGAGTAGCTTAACGGCTGGAGAGCCGAACTTGTGATAGAGGACGGCCGCGTGTCGTTTTTCATTTGTCTCTTTTGTAACACCACCTGGGCTCCTATGCTATGAATAAACCTAATAAAAATCCTAAATTGTTTCTTGTTGCGAATTAATATGGAAGCAAACAGAACATTCTAGAAAGTGAGTTCAAGTTTTAGTATAGAAAGAGCCGTAAACTGGACCCGCGCGTGCTCGCTGCACGAAATGACAGTCACTGCACGATAATATCCATCACCTTTTGTAAGGAATTGTGCTTGGATGAGAGGGTCACCTATCTCTTTCTGCTCCTTTAGTATTAGAAGGTAATGGAAAATCGTATTTGAATCGACCAAATTGGCGATATTCTAAAAAAGCTTAGCGCAATTTGGACCAATCTCACCACATGGGTCAGTGACGAACAACGCCATACAACTGAAAATAGTGGCGGGATCCCCAACTAAAAATCGTGTGTAGTTGGCTCCGAGAACGGACGACAACAGAAATAGACTAATCGCTTATTAAAACTAAAAATAAAATTTTATCTAATCTTAAAAAGAAAATAACAAAACTTCATCGGCAGACTAAAAGATTACCTTGCCATACTAAATCACAAAAAGCCATCTAATACAAATTCTTAAACAACTTACAAAGAATGGGTATAACAAACACACATATTCCATTAACATTCTACCGGGTTAAGAAATAATTCATGTTTTGCCAGAGATTTCAAAATTACAAATTGGCATAAAGTACACCTAGGCTTGCGTAAATGCTCCGTTATTAGCAAAAACCTTTACTGTTCGTGGGGATTCAATCCAAAGCGACAGTTGCCCATCTAGAGCTTTGCACCAATCGTTTAATCAATAAATACTGAAAAGGACACCTACAAAATTAAAAAAAATCTTTCACGAAATAAATATTCTATCAAAAATTTAAAGAGGAAATATATGACAGACTCAAAAAACACATCAAGACTAAAAATTACTCAAACAATTGATTTTCAGTGTACCCGAGTCCTGAAAATCGGAATTAATTTGGTCAAACAAGCAGTAAAAGTGATAAATCAAGATAAATAAATCTGACAAAACAAAAAAATATTGCGTAGCCCGAAAAAACTATTAGAAACCAACGAAGAAACCAAAAAAGCTCCCAAATATTGTATAGACGATTGTGATGTGTACGATACTTCGTGTTTGGATTGCAAAGGGAACTTTCCCGGTCAGGTGCCTGATTTTACGAACGCATTAATACTGAGTTAATGCTCAAATGATATTGCTTGCATTATAGATTACTATGTAATTATTATGAATATTATAATATGTTTGATAAAAAAATGTTTCAATGAAATGATATAAAAATTGCCAATTTTAGTATGTTCATACTCTGTAAGAAACTCGCAAAGATGCCTATCTATCTGGTTATAACTTATGATTGTCTTAAGCTTCTTATATTTTATTGGTTCATTTTACAGTGTCCGAAGAACTTAGGGTTAGTTTATGAACAATCAGGAGGGTGAAATTAAACGAAGTTAAGATTTTTTTACACGTTTTTACATATATAACATGCATTTTGAACCAACGGTGCATCTAATAAATTAAAGAAGTATTATGAAAAAGTCAGGCCTAAAATACGAGTAGGATTTAATAAAGATGTAATAAATTCTCAGAAAAAAAATATAAGTATAAAATTCCTGCCCCGACTAAACTATTTTATGTCATTGTATTCAAATAAATGAAAGACAGTGATTATTTTTTATTTCTTTTTTTTTTTAAGTTTTGCCAGAGTCCGCTGATTTTATTTGTGATTAATTAAATTAATTGTATGAAATTTAAATTTTTATAGTGCTAATCTCTACACTTTTCAGTTTTTCACTGATAGGGAATCGAACCCACGTCTTCCGGGTTCGCGCCCAGACGCTTTAACACCAAGCTAAACGGCTGATTTTCACACTGACAACAAATTTTTATAAATTAACCGTATTAAAATCTCAAAAGCTAAGTGTTTTTTTTTGTTATTTAACACCGAAATAATTTTATCTGCGATAGCACTGTAGTAAAAGGAATTGTATATTTATAAAGAAGACAAATTTGTTCATCTAACAACATAAAACAGTATGACACTGAGGTACAGCGCAAGATACTTTATAGGGACCTATCCAGGCGTCGTTTTACAAATCGTCAAACTTAACCGAAAAACGAATATTTCGTCGCCAACATACTGTCAACACCGGACGCTAATGGCGTGAACCCACGGCGGAACCTATTAAGTTCTAAACCCAATAAACATCATTGTTCCAGCGCTTAACTAGGAGAGGCCGCGGGCCGCGCGGGGCCTCTTTGGCCTCTTCAGCGCGGGCGACCTCTAATATTCATAAGTCAATTTCCTGCCCCATTAATACGTAACGAAGTAGCGCAAATGGCCTTATCGCTTGTGCGCGATTACTTGCCCGCCGCTCCCTTACATAATTCAACGTATTAAACGAAATTGTTTAAACCTTATTGCTCGATTACGCTCCTACGGCGCGGGCACGCCTCGCTACGCGCCGCCAATCGCCGCCCTCGGATCCCCCCCCAACGGGAGACGCCGACCCATCCGGGCCTGCCTCCGGGAGCTGCCTAGCACCTCAGTTCAGTGAGCGTCCAGTTGCGAACGCGCGTTAGTCGTTGGCCGACGTCGCGCCTGCGTGAACGGATCACAGTGGACCCGCTGCCACCCCTGGCTGAGATGCCGATGTAAACGGACTGCGTAGTGCTAGTGCCGAGGGACGATTGTGTGCGCGGCGCCGTTCCCGATGTCAGCCCTAGCGACGCCCGCGTAGACCTAGTTATGACGATGCTTGCGATGGCGCGTGGCTCGGAAGACCGGCGCGAGGAAGAGGCGGAGGCGGAAGCGGAGGCGAGCGGGGAAGTGGACGTGGTGGGCGTGGAGGAGGCTGCCCCGGTGGACCTGACGCGGCGGCTGGGGCTGACGCGGCCGCCCGACAGGCCCGCCATAGCGTTCTCCGTGGAAAACATCCTCGACCCCAACAAGTTCACCGGGCGCTCCGACGTCCCGTTGAGATACGACGAGCACTATTGGAGGCCCCACTACGATAGAGACGACAGTGACTCTGGTGAGTGATGCGTTTGAGGATTCATTTGGACTATTTAGTTTACGTTAACCGTTTACTGAGCAGCAAGCTAACTAACTGGTCGACTTTCGAGACGTTAAAACGAATATTATGTGTTATTTACATATAAAGGATGTTGTTAAATATATTGGAATAAAAATAAAACTAAATTATATATTAAATTTGTAGAAAAAAAGTACGAAAAGATTGTCGCCGCTGTGGGTTTTCGTCGGTGTGGCAATCAGCTTAGTGGGCAGAGCGTCAGGCCGCGAATACAGAAGACGTGGGTTCGATTCCAACAGCGGCGACAATCTTTTTGTACTTTTTCTACAAATTTAATGTTCAATCTAAAGTGCAGAGATTAGCAAAAATTTAAATTTCTAAAATATATATGCTTAGCTTACAAAACATAACAATAAAAAGAAAAACTAACATTTAAATATCGAATATGAAGAAAATAGCTAATAAATTTTTCAAGTATTAAAGTTATATAAAAATGTAGTATATTATATATATACTCGTAATTGGATATAGCGCATAGAGTAAAATTTTGATTAGGCTAATCCTCTGCAGTCCAATGCAAAATTGCAAATTGAAATTTACTCCATAAAGAATTGGACGAAGTTGTTTTTTTTTTGCTAGCTACATACAAATTACCGTTAAATTGCAAGTCTGAACAGTATGTTTAAATGCTTTTTTTTATTCCCATAAAATTGATAAAAACCTACAGAGACAACTAAATCTCTCAAAAATTAATATTATTATTTTACATATTTTTACTTTACTTTGAATTAATGGATATACAGAAGATGGGAATACAATACATAATTATTGGATTAAATTAATTAGCGCTAAAACCCTAATTAAAAATCATGATATTAATGACACAGTCGCTGTAAAAATGAATTCTCAATCAGTTCAGTATATTCGTTAGTTATAATTTTTTTGTGATTTAAATTGTTGTAATTACTAGACCTGAAATAGAATTGTTATTGTTATTAATGAAACGTCTAAGTCTTGGGTTTGTTAGTGATGTTTCAATGTATATCGTTTGTATAAAAATCAAATCTCGATCTCTCTTAATGTGAAATAGACAGAAGTCCCGTACCTCAATACCTATAAGTTTTGTCTTTCCGGTTTTGTAGCAAAGAGGAAATAATTTATGTCAATGGTTCCGACTATTGCGTGCTAGCATTGGAGTAAACGAGAAATACGATAAAGCCAATGCAAGCTGGTATACCCGTCCTGGGCATGCTATTCTGAAATTACAGCTACTACTAGTAGTACTAATAAATTACATTTTATCCAAGCATACCAATACTAGGCCTCACGATACAAGTTCTTTTTACGCATATATTAGGTAAAAAAATAATTGACAGTCACACAGACAAACAGACACACAGACAAATCAAAAAATTGACAGTCTAGTTAACGCTGACATTAGTACGTAGTATATAACTGGTTCCATATATCATTAAAGCTGTTGTATTCGAAACTTTATTAAATTAAAAACAAAATAAAACACAATGAATACCGAAAAAAAGTCTTACTTACCTAATTGTTATATCCTTTTAAGGATACAAACCATTTCAAATATCGTTATGCAACAATTAATCAAACAAAAGATATAGTTTAGAATATATAGTTATATAGAATTTATGTAGAATATATAGTTATATAGAATATATAATTTACTAAAAGTTTATAGTGCCAATATCACACATAAGATCAAACATTTAAAATTTGTGGGGAAAGGGACGAAAGCTTACACGAGGCTATTGACAATTTGTTGTAAACGCCGTACGCTGTTTAATGTCAAGACTGTAGGTACGAAAGCAATTTCAGCTCTTAGGAACCGTATTGACTCCGTGAAAATTGATTAATTAGCGTCAAGGCCTTTGCCCGCTTTTTAGACAATTATATTCTTTATACCACCGACACAGTGTTTGGGTCTATTCAAGCACTAGTCTTAGACAGATCGGTGTCTATAACTTTGAAGTCTCAATTAAGTACGTGATGATAGGTTAACGTTCTCAGCACAATAGTGCGTCCCGGAACTTGTGTACGCGCGTTTAGAACTCAATTAGCGTTGTGTGAATTGAAACGTCGTTTCCGATGTTGTTACGTATTTATTTTAATTGACGGACACTTGATATTTTAAGCATGTCGTATTGCGTTAACCTTTAAACTATATGTAACATCATATTGACTGAATCCAATCGATATAAAAGGTTATATTAAAAAAAATATATTAAAAACATCTTTACGGCCATCTTTAGAATGACCCGGTGGAACAGTTTTCACGCTATTGGCTTCGGCGCCTAGGGTCGTGGGTTCGAGTCCAATACGGGAAAAATATTTCTGTGCCTAACACACTTCCGGCTCTGGGTGTCTGTTTCAAAGGAGATTTGACGTCAGGCAGGCGGCCGGTTGTAAAAGAATCTAGAAGAAACACTTACAACACAATTCTTTGCCCCCACACATGACCCCACATAAGCGGGATGAGGGCAAGAGGATGATAATGATGATTAAAGGCATATCTACAATACACGAAGAAACGTAATGTTAAATCATGCATTAACATAGCATATAAATAATCTTTATATGCTAAAAATGTTTTATTCGGTTCATTTAACATTAAATAGCATTTATGCTTCGTGTAACCATGAATGTTCTACAAAATATCCCGTTCGCAATAAAGTAATATATCACAAACTTATGTAAAATAAAACAATAAATTTAATTTAAGCTAGGGTAATTTATTACTGGCTTAACTATTATGTTGGTCTATTGTAAATAATAATTCATTTTTACAATTGGGAAAAGAGTTGATATGGTCATGTTTTTGTCGAATAAAGTAACCCTTAGTGGTTATTCTCAAGTTAGTTTCTTTTATTTTTCGTGCCGGGAATAGTATTTTGACAATCGATCAAGTGAGTGTAATGCTTCTATATTGAATAAAGATATTTTAAATTGAATTTGCTTAGCGTAAAAATGGAAAAGTACTCTATAGACTTAAAAATGTTACCAAGTTATTTCACAAACAAAAAGCCAATTTCTATAATAAAAGTATGTCTGCAGCGAATAAATAGATCAGCTGATAACACTATAACAGTAAGGCGGTCAGCTAAAGTAAAAAAAAAAACTGATTCCAACAAAATATAATTGCATAAGAGCTATGCAATAGGATAGATTTCAATTAATTCTTGTCAATTAATTCCTATTTCTTAATATCTTCATTTAATGTAAAGTTATTAAAGTTTTAAGAAACTCTACACGTTCATTGATATGTGATTTATTTCCGTGGAGAAGCGGTGTAGTTGTTAATATAATAAGCAATGCCAACGAAACCGCGGGTATCAGCTAGTATAAGTTGAATGAATTAAAAGAGACAAAAACATACTGTTAGATTTTGTCTGTGTTACCACGCATTTCGTTTGAATGAATTTAACAGAACATTGTCGCGATGGTAACGACACGCTGTATAGTAAATAGTATATAGTAACTATATAAGAACTTGTGTTGGGCCAAGCTACAGTCCTCGCTGTTGCACTAATGGTAGGGTCCGTCCGGGTAAGTACCACGACGTCATTAAGTGGAAGTGTTACTCTGCGTTTCGTTTGGCGATGTATAAGCCATTAATAAATTGTATTCAACGATGACAACGGATCCGCAGCCCTACTGGTGTTGCAAATGTCAATGGGTGGCGGTTATCATTTAACTTCAAATGAACCGCTAGCTAGCTTGCGATCTTCTCACAAAAAAAAAGAAGGCATTTAAATTTCTATAACGTTTAAAATGAATTGGAACTTTTTCTCGTCGAACGTAACAAGATGCCGGGTTTTTTTGCGCACCGTCCAACGTCCGACGACCGGAAACGACAAAGCTGTCGCCGCGACAGCTGACTGTACCAACATTCGATAATTGATTTACGGTTCGCTATTTTACGGCATATTAAACATTTCAGTGACCGACGACGCGTTTACGATTCTGTGTTAGTTTTGTTTAAACGTAGAGACGCCGGACTTCTGGACCCGGATTTGCGTGAATAATCAGTCGGTTGCATTATTAAAACCGGCCAAGTGCGAGTCGGACTTCGCGCACGAAGGGTTTCGTGCCATTATCTATAAGACGACAAAAAATCATGTTTGTAGTATGGGAGCCCCATTTAAATAATTTTCTAATTTTTAGTATTTGTTTTAATAGCGGCATCAGAAATATATCATCCGCGAAACTAACTATCACGGTTCATGAGCCTGGTGACAGACTGACAGACAGACAATGGAGTCTTAGTAATAGGGTTCCGTTTAACCCTTTGGGTACGGAACCCTAAAAATCACATTTATAAAAGTCTTTACTTCCTCAACATTGTTTTAAACTGGAGACCTACCTCTGCTACACACGGGTAGAAGAAGTGCTAAAATACCTTTTTTTCGCGGCAGTAAATATTTTTTCTGCTCACACTCGACTCACAACTCGATCGTCATATTTAAGTTAATTTATTCAAAACCGTATTGAGTTATGCAAATACACCTTCCTAATAAATCACTCCGTCTATTTGCGATAACTGTATGAAAGACCGTTCAGTAGTGTTTGAGTCTTCCGCGTTCACACAGACAATCAGCGACGGGGGAATTTGTTTTAGGACACGACATATTTTTACAAAACGTTGTCTAGTTCGCAAACGAACAAAAGCTTGTACTATGCTTGTATACTTTTGTAAATAAGTTTGCTTCTTGTTTGAAGTTTAACTCTCACCATTCTACGAGGGAATTCTTGGCATACTTTCACGGGGGTCGGATAGACAGTTCTTTTGGTTGGTTAGTGGATGTTTGAAAACTTTGTTAGTAACGATCGACCCAAACGAACCACTACTGCAAGACAAGATACAATTAGCTCCCTCTGCATAGATCGGACACAAAAGTAGCAATTCAAAACCTGATGGTAGCCTTGGTATGACAATCAAACTTCCAACGCCTCAGTCTGTCCCGTGACCACGAAAGCTAAA